AAGTGTCATCTACGTACCTCTTCCATAAGGTCGAGCGTAGAGTGGCAGTCTGGATGGCGTCAGTCTCAAATTTCTCCATGAACACGTTGGCTACAACCGGAGATAGGGGGGAGCCCATTAGGGTGACCTCAGTTTGCTTGTAGAAAGTTCCATTCCAGGTAAAGTATGTATTGGTTAAGCAGTGTCTCACCAGGGGGGGTACCCCAGCATTCAGTCCTTGATGAACCAAGTCTTCAATGATTGCGATGGTGTCAGGTACAGGAACTTTGGTGAATAAGGAAACCACATCAAAACTGACAAGCAGGTCGTCTGGGGACAGGGAAATCCCCTTGATTGTCGATACCAGGTCAGTAGAGTTTAGTACCGCAGGTGGTTTTTCCAGTGAAAGGCCATAGGATTTCAGACAAAAAACGAGCCAGTTTGTTGGTGGGGGAGTTGATAGTAGAGACAATGGGACGAATAGGTGTATCTTCTTTATGTATCATTGGCAAGCCGTATAATCTTGGTGGCCTGGCTGCAGAAGGTTTCAACGAGAACTGTTTGGTCTGATCAATTAATGCGGTTGAAGCAGAAATGATTTTGTTGGTTTTAGAGACGAGGCTGTTGGTGGGGTCTATTTTTATTTTTGTATAGCTGCCATCGTTGAGTAGTTCTTGAATTTAGTTGTTGTATTTTATTTTGTCCATGATGACAGTGGCATTGCCTTTGTCGGCTGAGAGGATGACAATGTCATCCCTATTTTTTAATTGAGCTAATTCAAAACGCTCATCTTTGCTGATGTTGCTAGCTGGCATCTTAGCGTTTTTGAGGGTTGCAGAGATTTCAGATCTTGCTACGTCTGCAGCGATGTGACTCAGGCCCTTGAGAGCTACATCTACTCTAGCAATTATATCATTAACTGGTATGTGTCTAGGTGTGACTGCAAAGTTTAGTCCTTTAGCTAAAACGGATTTCAGACCTTCAAAAATAGAACTGTTATTGCGATTAAGTACGACTTTATTAACGTCTAGCTTTTCAATGTGTGGGTCCGGTCTCTTGTTTGAGAGGCGGTTGAATTTGGAAATCATTTGGTCGACATAGCGGCAGCGGAAGAGGCAGTCATCTTGTCTACATGTTCCCAATCCGATGTGGACATTGTTGCACTCAAAGATAAGTGTGATTTGTAGAGTGTCTTGTCTAACTGATCTAGATCGGTGCGCGTAAGTCTGATTTTCTCTGAGATAAGAGCTAAGCTAGTTCTAGACAGAATTCGTTTAGCATTATCTCAGAGAAAATCAGACTTACGCGCACCGATCAAGATCAGTTAGACAAGACACTCTACAAATCACACTTATCTTTGAGTGCAACAATGTCCACATCGGATTGGGAACATGTAGACAAAATGACTGCCTCTTCAGCTGCCGCTATGTCGACCAAATGTAAGGACAACTTGATTTCCAAATTCAACCGCCTCTCAAATAAGAGACCGGACCCACACATTGAAAAGCTAGACGTTAACAAAGTCGTAATTAATCGCAGTAACAGTTCTATTTCTAAAGGTCTGAAATTCTTTTAGCTAAAGGACTAAACTTTGCAGTCACACCTAGACACATACCAGTTAATGATATAATTGCTAGAGTAGATGTAGCTCTCAAGGGCCTGAGTCACATTGCTGCAGACGTAGCAAGATCTGAAATCTCTGCAACCCTCAAAAACGCTAAGATGCCAGCAAGCAACATCAGCAAAGATGAGCGTTTTGAATTAGCTCAATTAAAAAAGAGGGATGACATTGTCATCCTCTCAGCCGACAAAGGCAATGCCACTGTCATCATGGACAAAATAGAATACAACAACAAAATTCAAGAACTACTCAACGATGGCAGCTATACAAAAATAAAAAGAGACCCCACCAACAGCCTCGTCTCTAAAACCAACAAAATCATTTCTGCTTCAACCGCATTAATTGATCAGACCAAACAGTTCTCGTTGAAACCTTCTGCAGCCAGACCACCAAGATTATACGGCTTGCCAAAGATACAAATAGAAGATACACCTCTTCGTCCCATTGTCTCTACTATCAACTCCCCCACCTACAAACTGGCTCGTTTTTTGTCTGAAATCCTACGGCCTTTCACTGGAAAAACCACCTCTGCGGTACTAAACTCTACTGACCTGGTATCGACAATCAAGGGGATTTCCCTGTCCCCAGACGACCTGCTTATCAGTTTTGATGTGGTTTTCTTATTCACCAAAGTTCCTGTACCTGACACCATCGCAATCATTGAAGACTTGGTTCATCAAGGAATGAACGCTGGGGTACCCCCCCTGGTGAGACACTGCTTAACCAATACATACTTTACCTGGAATGGAACTTTCTACAAGCAAACTGAGGGCACCCCAATGGGCTCCCCCCTATCTCCGGTTGTAGTCAACTTGTTCATGGAGAAATTTGAGACTAACGCCATCCAGACTGCCACTCGACGCCTGACCTTATGGAAGAGGTACGTAGATGACACTTTTGTCATCTGGCCACATGGCCGGCCTGCTCTAGACCAATTTCTCGACCACATCAATTCCATACACCCAGCCATCAGATTCACCATGGAAGTCGATGGCAAGCTACCCTTTTTGGATGTCCTAATTAAAAGGAGACTTGATGGTTCAATGAGCCACTCTGTCTACAGGAAAGCCACCCATACGGATGCTTACCTAAAACCGGATTCCCACCACCATCCATCCCAGAAGAATTCCCTCATCAAGACTCTATACCATAGAGCCCAATGCATATCCGACCAGGAACACATTGCCAGTGAACTCAAACACGTACGCCAAGCTCTTAAGGCTAATGGTTACTCCGACTACACAATCCGCAAAGCCATCACTCCAACCATCAAGAAGGATCCTGTTGAGGAGCCTTTCAAGACCATCACCTTACCCTACATTGCTGGGGTCACAAAAAATATCTCCAAAATCCTAATAAAACACAAGATCCAGGTCCGATTCAACACAGTACATAAAATCCGTGATCTGGTCCCGTCTGTAAAAGATGTGGTTCCAGACATACAGTACCCTGGCGTCTACAAACTAAGTTGCCTCTGTGGTAGCAGTTACATTGGAAAAACCAAACGACATGTCTCGGACCGCATCCGTGAACATAAAGCAGACTTGAAACACGGTAGGACAAACACCTCAGCCGTGGCAGATCACCGTTACAATTCAGTGGGCTCACATTATATTGACTTCTCCAAGACAGAGGTTCTCTGCAAGCCATCTGGCTACCATGAGAGATTCGTTCATGAGGCGATTCACATATACAAACACAGAGACAATTTCAACCGAGAAGATGGATTCTGGCTTAGCAATCATTGGAAGGACGTAATAAACCATTTCGGATCTTAACTGATTGTGTTCACGTTTACGGTGACTTTCAGACCGCGTTCCACTCACTGAAATTGTATTCTCCGCAGGGAATGGATTCGTTGCTCCGTTGCAAGTTTCCTTCCCTACTCACCCATTGACATATTTCGTTGCTTCCTCTTAGTATCTTTCACACGACGGTCAATGGTACAGTGTATAATAACAAATAGTATAACATTTAGATGCTTAATACAATGTACAAAGTAATATATAGTATCGTAATTGTATAGGCAATATACAGCAGTGTGATATACATTAGGGTGGGTAGAATAATACATAGTGTAATATTACAATGTCTAAGGTATAGGGTGGTTTATAGCAATACAGTATATAATTTAATGTTGGGTTTGTCTATGGCAGTATATAGTACGGTGTAGACTCGTGTGATGTAAGAGAATAAAGTTTAGATGGAAGCATATAATATATTTTTCATGACGTAGAATTGTAATGTATTACTTACTGTTAGTAACTCAGCTTATTGTAGAGTATATTTAGTATACTGATGATACTATGTAGTTTATACTTTAGTTGTTTACGTGGTGGTTTTAGTTACTGCAGCTACATACTATTAACACTCCTTCCCTTTATTAATGCTACCCCTATCCCCTCCCTTTGATGCTGCTAATCCTGCATAATGCACGGACATAAGTAGTACTATTCAAATACCTGCATTTCCCATATCCCCTCCCTTTGATGCTGCTAAGTCTGAATAATGCACGGGCATAAGTAGTACTAATCACATACCTGCATTTCCCATATCCCTTCCCTTTGATGCTGCTAATCCTGCATAATGCACGGTCATAAGTAGTACTAATCACATACCTGCATTTCCCATAAAAATGCTAAATTCCTCTTGATATGCATATTCTTTTGTCAAGGCGCCCTTTTCCCCCCTTCCATCCCAGCTTATATATATGCTCCAAGCACGTGTGCTGTTTCATTCAGACGCTGTCGCCTCGACAGACCTGGTTTTCACCTGAGGACGGCTGCTTGCGTTGTGGCCGAAACGTCGTGAGAATTGTTTTACGATGTTTTATTTTTATTATTTTATTACTTCCCTTCTACGTGACTTTACCGAAAGAACCAAGACTTGGAGAATATCTGCAAAGAGGAGTGGGACAAAATCCCTCCTGAGATGTGTGCAAACCTGGTGGCCAACTACAAGAAACGTCTGACCTCTGTGATTGCCAACAAGGATTTTGCCACCAAGTACTAAGTCATGTTTTGCAGAGGGGTCAAATACGTATTTCCCTCATTAAAATGCAAATCAAGTTATAACATTTTTGACATGCGTTTTTCTGGATTGTGTTTTTGTTATTCTGTCTTTCACTGTTCAAATAAACCTACCATTACAATTATAGACTGATCATTTCTTTGTCAGTGGGCAAACGTACAAAATCAGCAGGGGATCAAATACTTTTTTTCCCTCACTGTAAACCCAAAACCCTATAAACCCCTAACCCTCTGAACCCCTTTACCCTTAAACCCCTTTACCCTGAAAACCCGAACCCTCTAAAAACCCCTAACTCTCGAATCCCCTCAACCCCTGACACTCTCAACCCCTAAACCCTATAACCCTCGAAATCCCGAAACCTCTAAACCCCTTATCCCTGAAATAACCCGAAACCTCTAAACCCTTAACTTTATAAATCACTAACCCTCTAAACCCCTAACCCTTTGTGTGGAATGTGGTGGGGATGGGATCATGGGGTGGGTGGGTGCAGGGTGTGTGTGGTGTGCGGTGGGTAGTGGGTATCACAGGGGGGTGAATAGGTGCAGGGTGTGTGTGGTGGGTATGGTGATAGTGGTCGTGGTTCACAACGATCCGTGACCACCACCACCACCTCTACTGTGTGGTGGACCGGCCACCACACAGCAGCACGCGTCGGAGGAGTGAACGGATGGTTCTCCCTATGCGGGCCAGACGCCCTCGCTTCCTCTTCTCCTCCTGCATCACCATCACCTGATCCTCTGTCCTTGTCATCTCCTTCTCCACCATCTTCTCCACCAATGTCTCCTCCACCTGCACCACCATCTCCTCCACCAAGGTCTCCTCCTCCTGCACCACCAGATCCTCCACCAGGATCTCCTCCTCCTGCACCACCAGCTCCTCTATCAGGGTCTCCTCCTCCTGCACCACCAGCTCCTCCACCAGGGTCTCCTCCTCCTGCACCACCAGCTCCTCCACCAGGGTCTCCTCCTCCTGCACCACCAGCTCCTCCACCAGGGTCTCCTCCTCCGGCACCACCAGCTCCTCCACCAGGGTCTCCTCCTCCTGCACCACCAGCTCCTCCACCAGGGTCTCCTCCTCCGGCACCACCAGCTCCTCCACCAGGGTCTCCTCCTCCTGCACCACCAGCTCCTCCACCAGGGTCTCCTCCTCCTGCACCACCAGCTCCTCCACCAGGGTCTCCTCCTCCTGCACCACTAGCTCCTCCACCAGGGTCTTCTCCTCCTGCACCACCAGCTCCTCCACCAGGGTCTCCTCCTCCTGCACCAACAGCTCCTCCACCGGAGTCTCCTCTTCCTCCACAACAACCGTCAGCCATTTAGAGGCCTGGGCAAGCGCGGAGGATGGGGGCAGCGCCGGCTCCGCTCTGTAGAGAGATGCGCACGACACTGTTCCAACTTCCTGCTACAGCAGAGATCGCACTCCCCCCCCCCCCCCCCCCCCACCATCGTGCGGAGATAGATTAACCAGGTTAATAACGATGCTGCAGTAACACAGAATACCTTTGCCCATCGTGGGTCTGGTTACAAAATGGGCATTAGTCTTGCGATATCACACTGGATGAAAGGCTACATGGCAAAGATATGGCTGCTTCATTATTTGTCCTCACCCAGAACCCAATTATAAAAATACATCCGTATATAACCGAATGTACACGTGGGGTTTGAACTGTACATGTGTTCGTTTGCAGGCGGCAGGGCTGGAACTCCCAGTCAGAGGGACCTGGGTTTGATGCCCAAACTTGGGCCACTTTCTCCATGTGGAATGTGGAAAATTACACTGGTCAACACTTTTTCTGGCATAAGGTATTCCAACGGTTTTAATGTAATTTTGGGGTGCTGATTACATATCTGGCTTCAGTTTTTGTCTATCACATCAGGTTTTTGAGATCTCAAATATTGCACTTTCAATAAAAACTACAGAAGAAAAATATTAAATAAATGTGGATATCTACATAAAATGATATTATAAACACACTATCCTAAAAATACAGCACCATATTTTAACACTAAAGCAGTCACTGAATCGCAACAACTTGCAATCATAAGTGACAGAGTTAATTTCGGATAAAATCAATGAAAATGGGGTATGCCGATAGCATAAAAATGAGATGTGATCGAGCTAATCTGAGATCAGATTTGTAATCAGCACACTGAAATTAGTCTAAAACAGCTGTAAAAGTCCAGGCCAGAAAAACATGTTTTTTGTTGACCAGTGTTATTTAGACTGGATGAAGAGGAATCCGATATGCAGTCGAGGCACAGGGTCAGCAAGTTACAACAACAAACATAAGAAAATGAGTGCAATGTGTAAAAATGTAAGCAAGTCCCGAAATAATTGAGCATATAAGCACAAAGTACGCAAAATCCTGCCAGTTTTTCAACACTAAATACAAACTTGGGCAAGGCAGCAAAACATCAACAAGAACAGCCCCAGACCTCACCAAGACAACACACAGTCCCTCAATAAAATTGTACATTAAAATGTAACTTTCATTCCTTGGGGTTTGGCATTTTCCTCCATGTAACCGAACCCTGACACACACGCCACACAACCAGTGTTGGATGGACATCCTCGGCAGTGTTAGAAATTGAACCCCCAAATCACTCAATAGGAATCGCATAGCAGCAGTAGCAAAAGCAAATTTGTTCTGTACTGCAAACAACTTGGCAGGACTCTAATTAAAAAGAGTCTTGAGACTGAGTGAGGCTCATGCTGGCTAAATAAGGGTAGTAGTAATCAATATAGAGCCGGGTACGGTGTACTGGGGAAACCGCCCCGGGCACCGTGCTTCTGGCAGCCCTGTGCTTCGAGGTCACGGTGTCAGATGTAATGTCTTTTTAACACGTAGGCTTTCGTACCAGATTGGCTGACATGATGACATCAAATTTATCACTATTTAAGACCGAAACAGGAGTATTTCTCCACAATTCTCCCCGGCAAAATGTCGTACTCGAATTGTAAATGTGGTGGGTTTGCTTTCCAACACACTGGTGTGCTGATCTAGTAACTAATTGTCACATTTTGTTTACATGATTCAGACGCTGTCTCCCCGACAGACCTGATCTTCACCTGAGGACAGCTGCTTGCGTTGTGGCCGAAACGTCGTGAGAATTATTTTAGTATGTTTTATTTTTATTATTTTATTACTTCCCTTCTACGTGACTTTACCGAAAGAACCAAGAAGATGATACACCTTACTAATTGGCTGTGTTGGGTGATGGTGGGTTTAACAACACACGTATATCTACGCGATCTAACCGAAACAAACCTGTATTATTAGCAATACTTCCGGTTTAATTGTGACTTGCCCCGGGCTCCACACCTCCCTATGGACTGTCTTGAACATTTGACAAGCAGATTGTGGCTTACCGTCGCTCAGCAGCTCCAAAACACTGTACACTGCCAGGAGTAGCAGTGGTGGTGGCGTTGCTGGTGGTGCTGGTGGTGCTGGTGGCCGCGGTCCGGAGCCAGCTGTGACCCAGCGCCTGCGCTGGCGTCATGCGACAATCCGGATCCCATCTGTTGAGAGGCACACGGGGGTCACACGCGGCGCACATGGTGAGAGAGGCGTTGTGAGAGCATTGACGTTCCTTCCCTTCTCCCACGAGGTCCAGGAACGCACGGCAGCAGCGGTAGTCGTGGTAGCAGCGGCAATCCTTCAATACGCAGTACTCTAAAAATGCCCTGAGCCTCGCACTGCCGAGTAGAATCTTTAATGAACCTCCAAAGAGGGCGATCTTAACACCGGTGGTACTGGTCATCGGCAGGTTCACTCAGCTCCACATCTTCCTGGTGATCGAAGGAGAGCGATCGTTGATCACCTTGGTGGGGGAAATCCTCATGGGGAGGGGGGAGGGGGATGATTCTTACCGCAGGCAAGAGCTGACGAAATCAACAAACTCCGGGTCGTGGCTATTGAGTGCCCCGTGAAGTGACAAGCTCCCTGGCACCCTTCTCTTGACTGGGCAGAACATCATGCCCACACGATCTGCAGGAGACATGCACAGCAGGAGAGACACACAGTCACCAACCACCACTTTGCCCACCTACCCACTTACCCACCCACCCACCCACTCTCCCACACACCCATTTACCCACCCACTCACCCAAGGAATTGAAAATACAAAGAGGCCCCCCCCTTGGCCACCCCAACAGCTCCAGGCCACACCCTAACACTGAATCCGGTCGGTTGCTCGCCCCACCCTTCAACTCACCAAAGTAGTGCATTCCGTCAGGAGCTGCATCCATCATACATCTTGGAGGCAACCCGAGGATCTGCACATGGTTGAGATAAAGGCAAAGGTCACCCGTGTAGGTGCAGCAGACTGTAGGGGCAAGTGCTTTTAGTAGTGAGTAGAAACAGCAGCAACAGCAGCGGCACCAGTTGAGGGCCAGGACTGTGGCACACACAGAGAGGGGATGGTTGGCCATATTGAAGCAGGTACACACCGCACCAGGTACTCATTTGAGGCTGAGTCGAACTCGGGGATGCCCAGTACCGGTTCAGATAATCCTCACTGATGTTGGCCGTGATTTGGAATCAAACTCGCATTACCGGGTTTGTAGCTGAGCACGCTAACCGCTGCACCACTGCTTCCCCCACACGTACAAGACACACACACAACATACGATGGCTGCCATTCGCCAGGTCACCAAGTACCCAATCGCCCCCCCCCTCTCCTACCTCCCCCCCCCAGAGCCTACAACTTTAAGGAAGGAGGGGGGAATCACGAGTGGGTGAACGCCCAGTTGGAAATACCTCCATGCAGCACGGGAGGTGGTCGTCGCAGCTGTCCGACTGGAATAATTCCCTGCCGGTCACCAACTCCGCCACCGTGCAGCCCAGTGCCCACATGTCCACTGCACAGGTCAATCTGTAGCCCAGCAATACCTCCGGAGATTGGAATGGCAGGGTCCCACCAACATGCAGAGCTGCACAACAATCACAACAACAACAACAAATATGTATGTGTGTACTCACTATGTCATGAACAGCATCCTTGTCACACACTGTCACATGTACAGACACTAAGAGACTTGCACACACACTGGTACACAGACACACCCACACGCAGAAACTCACACCCAGGTGAGGTTACTCACGTTGACTTTTCACAAAAAAGCTGGTGCCAAAGTCCGTGACCCTGATGGTGCCGGTCACGGTAGTCCTTGATTAGAACATTTTCCTAAAGCAAGAGAGGCAGAAGGAATTCACACTCTAAGGTTACACCAATAGCATTCAGCCAGCAGTGGATCAATCACGTACCACAGTACATACTAAACAGGGGAACGAGGTGAGGCGTAGCGCCGTCGTCAACCTTTAGTCAAGTGCAACATTCCCTGTCTTCTGACAGCTGCCACTGGGGGTGCCCCTTTCAAATGCGTCATGACGAGCGATGTTCGTCGAGGCTCATCACATTTAAAGCTCTCTGAAGCACCATCTAAGTAAAAGGGTGCGGCTCTATAGACAACTTATCCTAGTTGCTCACAGCTGCCCGTTAACGAGTTACGAACCAAAAACCACACTCGAGGGCGCACGGATTTAGTGACGATTTGGGAAGTTTTCCATTCACAGCATGGAAGCCGACAATGGGCACCTGTCAGTTCAAACGCGTGTTTGGCACATTTTGAAAATCATTATTTTCAGCTCCGGTTTGTGTTTCCCAAAGTTTGTGGCAATGCTGTGATCTACATTGCTGGTTTTCTCTGTGCTGAGTCCCCCAATAGCGACACGACTCTACACGACAGTTTAATTCATACCGGATCATCACCAGAGGTAACGTGACCCTGTCTCCTTCCAGATAGACGGACAGACCTAACACATCGACCCTGTGACCAACGTGGGCGGTTTTCTCTATGGTCCGAGTCCCCAATAATGACAACTCCGGAACAAAGTCGCGCTGAATGCTGTGTCCACTCACTGGCTTGATAGTCCGCATGGATGATGCTCCTGGCCTTGGTGTGGCAAAGGAACTTGAGGATGCCCCTGGTGTAAGTTTTCACCATCCCCATGTGCAATTGCCGGAGCCCCGCTTCCTTAATCACATCATGGAGGCTCTCCCTGTGAAAGAGGCAGAAGCAACAACAACAATTACAACAACGATGCAATGTCAGTGTCATACCCTGCAATACTGCGTGGATTATGATAACGACAATATTATTATTCTATTTGCACATTCACGACTAATATGAGTCATAGCTCCGTGTGGGTTTAGGTCATTGGTTTGCTGATAAACCGAATCAGCTAGCACTTATGACCACTTGCTTTCATTGGCTGTTTTCGGGTGGTGGAGTTATCTATTAGGAGATACAAACAAGGGGCACAAGCGTCACCACTGCGCTGCAGCCAACCTGCTGATCGAGTGGAGGTGTGGCTATATAAAAGTGGGCGGTGCTGATTGAGAAAAGAGGAGTGGCCTCTAGTGCACCTGGGGCACATGACAGCTCCACAGTATCGCAATACGAGGTTGGCACGGGAATCCCAGAAGTAACATCTAGCCCCGGTGGTGTGATGTCATCACCCCCCCCTGGTGTGGAAGAGATCAGGGCTTTGATTCTGACCCTGACGCATGTATATTCTGAGTTTGCATGTTCTCCCCCTGGTCACGTGGATTTTTCTCCGGGTCCTCTGGTTTTTCCCTCTACATTTAGAAACAGTGTTTAGAGTATTTGGCTGCCATACATTTCCACATCAGCCACTTTTTTGAGCTATCATTTGTAGCCAGGCCGCTTGTGAAAAATAACTAATCGGGCAGTGGGCTTTACCTGCTAAATAAAATAGTTTTTGTTGAGCTAATGAAGTTAACCACGCCAAGGGGGGGGGGGGGGGGGTGGGGCGGTGGGAACACATGGTACGTACTTCAACAGCTCCAGGACAATGCAGTGGTGTCCTCTGAAGTCAAAATATTTCAGGACTTTGACGACGTTGTAGTCCTCATCACTGCCCTCGCCCTGAAGTGCCAGAGCCATCTTGATCTCCATTCTCTGAAATTTATCACGCTTGGAGCTGTGCAGAGAAAATCCACAAATGAATCATGACTTAGACTTGCTTAAGGAATGACCAGAAACAAATTATATTCAGAATTAAATAATTATACGTTCCCCAAGTGTAATGTCATTGTGAGTTCCAGTAGCGCGCTCATGGAAGGTTCCAGAAAGGATAGGGAAGAGGATAAAATAAGCAAGGGATAGAGGGGGGTTTGGGGTGCTGCCTTAACGTAGTGATTCCCTAATGTGTGAATTGAGCCGACTCCGAGTATGGCCCCAGCCACACTCAGGATTTCCAGGAGCTGAGCCAAGCCACGGCTGAGCCACTCGTGTATCTTTATCAGCAGCTGAGTGGCTCAAGCCTGAGCCAAACCACGGCTGAGCTGGAGCTGAGCCTGAGTTTTAGAGACTGAGCCATAGCTGATTCGTGACTGAATGTGGCTCTCACAAAGCAAGGCATTATAACGTGGAACATCATGGGACCTCCTTTGCCAATACCAAAATATGAGAATAGATTTTCCCCTTTTTCCTGGCAACAAAACAGGTGTTAAGATATAAAAAAAACTTAAACCTTTTACAAGGAATCATGTCTGAATTAACCACAATACTTATGGTCAGTATGCAAACAAAAAACATACTCTGATAATATATGCATTGTCTTTTAAACTGATTGGTCCACACCAGACAGCTTTCTGTTGAGTCTAGTCTCAAAACGGTGTTAAACCAGAGGACGCCAAAAGGCGTACAGCACAAAGACAAGCACTATCAGAGGAATGAGAGCTCTGGGTGAGCAGCTACATCATGGGACCTCCTTTGCCAGTATATTTTTGGTACTGGCAAAGGAAGTCCCATGATGTAGCTGCTATAACGCAGAACGCACATGTTATAACACAGAACGCGCCCGTTATGACATGGGACAACCTCATTAAAGCGTGGAACGTGCCTTTTATAGCGTGGAACGTGCCCATTATAACGTGGAAGGCTCCCGTTATAACACGGACCGCACCCATTATAATCCGGAATGCATCTGTTCTAATGCAGGAAAGCGCCCATTATAACGTGGAATGTGCCCGCTATGAAACTGCACGGCTGAGCGGTATGATACAGTAGGCGGAATGCGGAATGATAACGTGACATGACAGCATACCATCCATTATTGGTATCTTCATATCACTGTGCGTGTATTATATCTTGCAAAACTTTATCGTTACATTATATATGGGGATATTATGTTTGCTTAATGTGCTTTCCCTTAACGCGGCACTTTTCAGGAATGCATCTACCAGGTGAAATGAAGAATTAATGTAATGTAAGAGTGAACTGATCCAGAACAGGGGGAGAACATACAAACTCCACACAGGAGGGCACCCGAGTCAGGAGTCGAACCGGGGTCCCTCTGTGAGGCACGAGTTGTCACCACCTCATCACACGGCCGCCCACAGCAAAGGACTGAACAACAACGTCGTCCTTGTGACAACACCGCTCTGAATTCTTACCTCAATGGTGATACCAAGATCTTCACGGCCACCAGGGTGTTCCTCATGTGGTCAAGGCACCGGATCACCTGGCCTTGACCTCCGTACCCAATCTTCTTCAGCACCTCATAGCGGTAGTGGAGGTGCTCATGCTGGACCTGCACCAAATTACAATCATTTAGACTGACTATATTTTGAAAATCACAACATGTAAGAAGTGTGAGCATTATTTTACGAAATAATTGTTTTATTAAGTGTTTGGTTTTCTTAAATCTGTAATTGTGGAATGCTCTGATGTCTGCTGGCTGAGACACCCTTAAAAAGCGCATTAGCTCAATGGGCTTAACTTGGGAAATAAACTTGATTGTGAAGTGTGTGGGAGAGTGCATGTGTGCTGTCTCTGGTTGGTTGGTACTTCAGGTGCAATGACAAGAAGCCACGAACCTCGCGACCGCTGCGCCTGCGACCGCCCCCACGGCCGGGGCTTTGTGGCGAGTCTCACCGGAATGTAATGATGTTCGTGGTCGTCGTATCCATCGTTGTTTGGTCCCCGGGATCTGTTGCGGAGCGCAAAGTACCATACTTCCTGTATGGCGGCAAGCTCCAGCTTCTCCCGGTGGGTCATTTGAGGGCCAAAGAGAGCCAGGATTGCTGCAGGCAAGAGAATAACAACAGCTGTCAGTGATCATTTGTTTAGATTCCTTTTCAGGAGGTTCCTGCAGATGATTTACAGAGAATGGGGGTGACGCTGCTGCCATTACGTCTGCTGTGTGATGCCAATTTGAGGAATTTGCAGGGGATTTGGATGTTTTGGCCAATACCAGTTATGTCTGTATGTTGAACTTATTTTGCACCGTGTTTCGGCAACCCTGCTAATCAGAAGTAAGGGGGAAGGACAATTAACTAAAAAGTTCGCAAAAATTATAGATTTAAAAGAACATCGCTCCAGTGGCTTCCTAATGTCAGAGCATTCCAGATGACTGCAGAAGCACATCTGAAAACGTGCGATGAATTGACCATCTTCGTTCGATGTCCAGCTATATGCAGCTTTGATGACGTCTTAGGTTGCTTGGATTTGACAACGGGGTTAATGAATTAGATAAATATAACACAGATATGCCAAGGATTTTATGAAATAAGAATAACTTTTACCCTTTCTGGCACAAAAACAGGTGTTAATATGTTCAAACACCAAATCGATACCTTTTGCAAGGCATCAAGTCTGCATTTACCACACATACTGGTGGAAAAATATGCAAACAAACATGCTCCGATAATATATGCATTGTCTTTGAAATTGACTGGCCTGCACCAGAGACAGCCTTCTTTATGACCTTGTCTCGCCGGTGTGAGACCAGAGAATGGCAAAAGTCGAACAGTACATCACCCATGCAACATGGCCACCATGAAGTTCCCAATGCATCATGGTCACTGTCACGTCCCCCTTGAAACATGACCGTCGTGATGTCCCACCATTCAGTGTGGCCATCTTGACGTCACTCATTTCTGTTCTTACCTTGTGGCGACTTGCTGCGGATGGAGGAGGTGCGCGCTGAGGACAGCGCACTCCACGTGGTGCAAGACTCGCCGTTACTCCGAGCCTCTCCAGCTCGGCTGATCTACACACACACACAAAAAGGTCCACCACTAGAGCTTGAGGAGTGAGTGGGACTCGGGCAGGACGAGCCATGGCCAGGATGGACAACAATGGCTGACAGTCAAGAATAATAACAGCGACAACCAAGGAACGGAACACATCAGAGAGGAGAGCCGCCAGAGAGATGGTGCTACGAAACCGGCGCTTGGCAGATTATTCCATCACAGGATGTGAGGGGTAGCAGGGTCTCAGGGAGCGAGGCGTTCATCCATCAGTGGATAGATAACAGTGCTGTAGATGCTCACGCGTAGACGGGCACGTACACCAACAGGATCTCGGAGAGACACTGATAGACGCACACACACTCAGGCGGGCAAGGAGAAGCACATCCAGGTATACAGGTCACAGGTAGGCACACGCAGAGGGGAGAACACACGTCCACCCATACTTCACCACACAAGTCGAGGAGCCACATGTACCTCCATGGTAGCAACTTGCAGACGAGGGTGCTCAGAGCTCACGGTGTCTCTCGCGCGGTCCGGGTCTCTGCGTGGAGAGCGGGAGACAGAGGCGAGGGTCACAGAGTCGAAGGGGCGTGACAAACCCACGTCTAAACACACGTCACTTCACAATGCGGACTCTCATCATCAACACAGACTCACATCCTCACCAGTCACCCACAATACGAAAAACACAAAAAGCAACAACTGCCTTTCCTCAGCATGCCTGGCAAGGCGGTGTTGAATAATCCTTGCCAGGACCTTTCCCGGCACACTGAGGAGTGAGATGCCCCTGTAGTTGTTACAGTCTGTGCGGTCTCCCTTCTTAAAGATGGGGACCACCAGGGCATCCTGCCACCTCACTAACACCACCACCACTAATACCACCAACACCACCATCACTAACACCAGTAACACCACCACTATCACCACTAATAACAACCACAATCACTAACACCACCATCACTAAAACTAACACCACCACCATCACAAGCACCACCCCCACTAATACCACCAACATTAACACCACCACTCCTCCCCCTGCCAGTATGGGACACCAAAGACAAAGAAGGCTCAGCTAATCGAGTCTCTCACCTTTCTAAAGAGATGCCGTGACTCTAAGGTAATACCAATCGCATTTACACTAACCTCTGCTGCTGTAACTTCTTCTAATGCTAAACGAATTATGTCTAGAACTAGCTTAGCTCTTATCTCAGAGAAAATCAGACCTACGCGCACCGAACTAGATCAGTTAGACAAGACACTCTACAAATCACACTTATCTTTGACTGCAACAATGTCCACATAGGATTGGGAACATGTAGACAATATGACTGCCTCTTCAGCTGCCGCTATGTCGACCAAATGTAAGGACAACTTGATTTCCAAATTCAACCGCCTCTCAAATAAGAGACCGGACCCACACACTGAAAAGCTAGACGTTAACAAAGTCGTAATTAATCGCTAATCCTGCATAATGCACGGGCATAATATGACTTTGAAACCCCCCGCCAAACCTCCTACGCATTTCACAAGTAGTACTAATCACATACCTGCATTTCCCATAAATATGCTAAATTCCTCTTGATATGCAAATTATTTTGTCAAGGCGCCCTTCCCCCCTTCCAACCCAGCTTAAATATACGCTCCAAGCGTGGTGGTGTTTCATTCAGACGCTGTCTCCCCGACAGACCTGGTCTTCACTTGAGGACGGCTGTTTGCGTTGTGGCCGAAACGTCGTGAGAATTATTTTATAATGTTTTATTTTTATTATTTTATTAATACCCTTCTACGTGACTTTACCGAAAGAGCCAAGAAGATGAATCCCTGCAGTCACGAAAGCTTTAAATCGAAATAAAAACAAAGATCCCCGTAGAGACTTAACAGTCTGTAGGGGAAGTGCTGTTAGCCAGCAGTGCGTATGAAGGCTGGCACGACACACGAGGGGGTTGGATTGCCAGCACCACGCCCGGCCGCCTTTGTCTCCCTAGTGGCGACCTTTACACACCGCACCAGGTACTCATTCGAGGTTGAGTCGACCTAGGGGAGGCCCAGCACCGGTTCAGATAATCGTCACTGCTGTTGGCCTTGAGAGAGAATCCACCTCGGGGTCTCGCAGTTAATAGCGCGGCACGCTGTCAGCTACACGACCGTTCCACACACACACAGACTCACACAGAGAGACTCACACACACACAGACTCACACAGAGAGACTCACACACACACAGACTCACACAGAGAGACTCACACACACACAGACTCACACAGATAGTCTCACACACACACAGACTCACACAGAGAGACTCACACACACACAGACTCACACAGAGAGACTCACACACACAGACTCACACAGAGAGTCTCACACACACAGACTCACACAGATAGTCTCACACACACACAGACTCACACAGATAGTCTCACACACACACAGACTCACACAGAGAGACTCACACACACACAGACTCACACAGAGAGACTCACACACACACAGACTCACACAGATAGTCTCACACACAGACCACAAGATAGTCTCACACACACACAGACTCACACAGATAGTCTCGCACACACACAGACTCACACAGATAGTCTCACACACACACAGACTCACACAGATAGTCTCACACACACAGAGACTCACACAGAGAGACTCACACACACACAGACTCACACAGATAGTCTCACACACACACAGACTCACACAGATAGTCTCACACACACACAGACTCACACAGATAGTCTCGCACACACACAGACTCACACAGATAGTCTCACACACACACAGACTCACACAGATAGTCTCACACACACAGAGACTCACACAGAGAGACTCACACACACACACAGAGACTCACACAGAGAGACTAACACCACCACCACCACTCGCCCACAGCTCGGTTCAACTCCTCACCTGCTCTGGGGTCTGTCGGCGCCTCTCTAACGGGCAAACTGCCAGTGGGAAGCACGTGGCGCGAGACGCGGGGGCGGTACAAGTTAACCACGCCCCCCCCCCGTGATGTCACAACCATTAGCTCCTCCCCCCCGACCTGAGCTCCTCCCCCCATGCCTCCTCTGCCCCCCACCCGAGACCCCCCATGTACCCCCCTCAATACCCCCACCATGACCGTTCCACACAGAGAGACTCACACACACACGGACTCACACGGAGAGACTCACACACAGAGACTCACACAGCCACCACTCACCCACAGCTCGGTTCCACTCCTGCAGGAGACCGACTCAGTGTAGTCCCAGGGCTTGCGAGCTGGTTTTCAGTCTCCAACGGCTCTTCTGCTCCAACGACTGCCTCGAGCTCTCTCACGCACCGCCTTATATAGCCAACTGCCCCCCGAGGGGCGGGGCTGTATGCGGACGTCGATGTCGACACCCCATGCACGGATGTAGACACCGCAACGTAATGGCTTGCTACACCCCGGTACGTAACACCTCTAGATCTCGATTTAAAGCTTTCGTGACTGCAGGCATTCATCTTCTTGGTTCTTTTGGTAAAGTCACGTAGAAGAGAAATAATAAAATAATAAAAATAAAACATAATAAAATAATTCTTACGACTTTTCGGCCACAACGCAAGCAGCCATCCTCAGGTGAAGACCAGGTCTGTCGGGGAGACAGCGTCTGAATGAAACACCACCACGCTTGGAGCGTATATTTAAGCTTGGTTGAAAGGGGGGAAGGGCGCCTTGATAAAATAATTTGCATATCAAGAGGAATTTAGCATATTTATGGAAAATTCAGGTATGTGATTAGTACTCCTGTACTTGTGAAATGCGTAGGAGGTGGGCGGGGGGTTTCAAAGTCATATTATGCCCGTGCATTATGCAGGATTAGCAGCATCAAAGGGAGGGGATAGGGGTAGCATTAATAAAGGGAAGGAATGTTAATAGTATGTAGCTGCAGTAACTAAACCACCACGTAAACAACTCAAGTATAAACTACGTAGACATCTCTAACGGCCAAACTGCCAGTGGCGCGAGACGCGGGGGCGGTACAAGGTAACCACGCCCCCCCCGTGATGTCACAGCCATGAGCTCCTCCCTCCATGCCCCTCCCCCCATGCCCCTCCCTGCCTCCCCTCGCGACCACCCCCCATGCCCCCCCTTGCCCCCCTCGCGACCACCTTTCATGTCCCCTCCCCCCCTCGCGAACCCCCCATGCCCCTCCCCCCTCACCCCCCATGCCCCTCACCCCTCACCCCCCATGCCCCTCCCTGCCTCCCCTCGCGACCACCCCCCATGCCCCTCCCTGCCTCGCGAACCCCCCATGCCCCTCCCCCCTCACCCCCCCATGCCCCTCCCCCCTCACCCCCCATGCCCCTCACCCCTCACCCCCCATGCCCCTCCCCCCTCACCCCCCATACCCCTCACCCCCCATGCCCCTCCCCCCTCACCCCCATAGCCCTCCCCCCTCAACCCCCCATGCCCCTCACCCCCCATGCCCCTCACCCCCCATGCCCCACCCCCTCACCCCCCCATGCCCCTCCCCCCTCACCCCCCCATGCCCCTCCCCCCTCACCCCCCCATGCCCCTCCCCCCTCACCCCCCCCATCCCCCTCCCCTCCCCCCCCTGCCCCTCCCCCCTCACCCCCCCATGCCCCTCCCCCCTCACCCCCCCATGCCCCTCCCCCCACCCCCCCATGCCCCTCCCCCCTCCCCCCTATGCCCCCCCCCTCCCCCCCCATGCCCCTCCCCCCTCACCCCCCCCATGCCCCCCCCCCCCCCCCTCCCCCTCACCCCCCCATGCCCCCCCCCTCACCCCCCATGCCCCTCCCCCCTCACCCCCCCATGCCCCCCCCCTCACCCCCCCATGCCCCCCCCCCCCCCCCACCCCTCCCCCCCCATGCCCCTCCCCCTCACCCCCCATGCCCCCCCCCCTCCCCCCCTGCCCCTCCCCCTCACCCCCCATGCCCCCCCCCTCACCCCCCATGCCCCTCCCCCCTCACCCCCCCCATGCCCCTCACCCCCCCATGCCCCACCCCCCTCCCCCCCCATGCCCCTCCCCCTCACCCCCCTATGCCCCTCCCCCTCCCCCCATGCCCCTCCCCCCCCCCCCATGCCCTCCCCCTCCCCCCTCACCCCCCCCATGCCCCTCACCCCCATGCCCCTCCCCCTCACCCCCCATGCCCCACCCCCCTCCCCCCCATGCCCCTCCCCCCTCCCCCCTCACCCCCCCATGCCCCTCCCCCATGCCCCTCCCCCCCCATGCCACATCCCCCTCCCCCCCCATGCCCCTCCCCCTCACCCCCATGCCCCTCCCCCCTCACCCCCCATGCCCCTCCCCCCTCACCCCCCATGCCCCTCCTTCTCACCCCCATGCCCCTCCCCCCCATGCCCCTCCCCCTCCCCCCCCATGCCCCTCCCCCTCCCTCCATGCCCCACCCCCCTCCCCCCCCATGCCCCTCCCCCTCACCCCCCATGCCCCACCCCCCTCCCCCCGCTGCCACTTCCGCTGGGGTCGGGGCCGAGTGGAGGCGGCGCGCGCAGTGCATTGTGGGTGGCGAGCGGCTGGTTTGGATTCCCGCTCACGGCCACCGTCAGTGGCGAGCGGAAGCTTCTGAAGCGGCGGCTCGCTGGGCCTCCTCTACGTCGACTCAGCCTGAAGGTGAGAACCTCGCGTGGTGTGTCCACATCAGCAGTGGCGGCGGCGGTGGGAGGAGACAGGAGGCGCCTGGCCCACAGCCGTCACGTTCTGCGGAGTTCGCGGCGCAGCTTCAAGCAGAGCTCGGCCCTGCTGCTGCTGCTGTTGTGGTTACATTATAGTTGTGGTTACATTATAGTTGTGGTTACATTATAGTTGTGGTTACATTATAGTTGTGGTTACATTATAGTTGTGGTTACATTATAGTTGTGGTTACAGTTGTTGGTCGTGGTTATTGTTGTGATTATAGTTGTGTGGTTGTTACTGTGGTGGTTGTGCAGGTGGTGGCACACGAGTTAACCCATAGCACCAGGGTCTAGCCCTCCTCTTGTACCGAGCCAGGCAGAGCAGTCGGCCCATGGCACCTGAGTCTGGCCCGTGACCTCCTCCTGCACTTAGCCTGGCACAGCCGTCAAACCATGGAACCTGAGTTATTGTGGTGACGTCACCGCCACGTCGTAGTGAATGGCGACTGTTAATGTGTGTTGGCTTGTGTGTGAGTATGATGGTGAATGCGTGAGTATGATGGTGAGTATGATGGTGAATGCGTGAGTATGATGGTGAGTATCATGGTGAGTATGATGGTGAATGCGTGAGTATGATGGTGAGTATCATGGTGAGTGTGATGGTGAGTGTATCGTGGTTGGTGAGTAATACTGAGTGTGAGTTTGACTAATTATCTTCCCTCTCGCTGTCTCTGCTTTCCCCCCTAACTACCTCGCCTGGTATACAGGAGTTTGTAGGTTCGATCCCGACCCTGATGCCTGCTGTATATTTGGAGTTTGCGTGTCTCTGTCTCTCCCCGTGGTCGCGTGGATTTTTCTCCGTGTCCTCCGGTTTTTCTCTCCACATTAAGAAACATTCGTTTAAAGTTTTGACTTAAAACTTTCGTGACTGCAGGAATGAATATTCTTGGTTCTTTCGGTAAAGTCAACTAAATAGAAAACAAAAAATCTATTTTTTTTATAAAAAAATAAGATAAATTGATAATAATAACGGCAATTTATTATATTTATTTCATTTTCATTACTAATTTTTTGGTTTTCTATTTACGTGACTTTACCGAAAGAACCAAGAATATGAATATTCGTTTAAAGTATTTAGCTGCTATAATTTACACGTGATGATGAGCCACTTCGTTGAGCTATTATTGGTGCCAAGTCGCTTCTGAATAAGTAATATTTAAAAGTACTTTGTTTTTTTAAAACGCTTTAATTAAATTAAATGTACCACGACTCCAGGAAGTGGCCTCGATGCTTGCCATAACGTAAGGGGCCCTGGTGATTTACAGCCAACGTCAGTTGAGCGTGGACAATTAGACCCAAGCCGAAACATAACATATAAAATGAATGTTCAAAAATACTTTTTTTTCATAGAATGTAGTTTTGTCATCAGTATGACATAAGTATACCAAGTTTGCAGTCGATACCACATTGGGAAGTGGGTTAAAATTGAGTTACAAGATTTGAGGATACGACAACAACAACAACAGACAGAGTGAGTTAAATAAAAGCGCGTAATAAAAGAGATGTTTATCTCAGTGGTCCTTACCTGGTAAAATGAAAATCGTTGAGATTTTAGTCTAGTTTTATCTCTCCTTCCCGAGTACAACAACAAGCAGGAGTAGTGGGAGGAGCATTCTCCCCTAAGTGACAGTGACGTCACCACAGCGCCTGTGCCAGGCCAGGTGCACTTTGAAGCCACGTGAAGTGTCGAAGGCTCGCTGACCGGAGGTCCTGGAACAGTGGAACAGACCAAGGTGCCATGGGTTGGCTGACTGAGATGACTGGCAGCACCACCTGTACCCCGTACTGTGCCAAATTGCTGCATATTTATCATCCGGTGTTCCGATCGTTGTTGTGAGTATCACTCCTCCGTTGTTGTTGGAGGGCGATTGTCGCCAACTGCCAAGTAGAAGCATCCTTCACGAGCCTCCCCGCAGAGGCCGATCTCGACACCACTGGTACCAGTCGTCGGCAAAGCCCACTCAGCTCCACATCCTCCCGTACCGCATCAGTCCACCTCCACTCCAGCCAATGCCGTGCCCGCCCAGCTCCCTCCATCCACCCACATACTCACTTACCGGCTTACTCACGCACTCACCCACTCATATCTGCTCACGCACCCACGCATGAAATTTTAAATGCAGGCTACGCAAAGCATCGTGATCAATTTACACCAAAATCTACTCTCAACCACTTAAACCACATATTTGTAAATGATGCGCACCCTAATCAGCCACTATGGCTGTATGCAGGGTGTTGTGATGTCACGTAGTACGACGGTTTTCTTGCTCCCCCCCCCCCCCCCCCCCCATTATAACGCGGCGTCTATCTATGGCCTCGTCACATTGGCCTTAATAGACGCGTGGTGATGGTGAAAGATGATTCGGCGTTGGACACTGAATTGCCGGAGCCCCATTTAACATTCAGGTGACACGGGGCACGGTACGTGAAGAACCTCTTATGTTCTGTAAGCAGACTTCTCTGCGTGGGATAGTTAACACCTCTTAATGCACAGACAACCGCCAACACAGCCTCGCCTGCCGGAGGAGCTCGCTGATGATCGGACAGTGTTCAGATCTCTCAAGGATCTGTGAGCTACTCGCACACAAAGATCCCCGTATAGCCTTTAACAGACTGTTGGGGCAAGTGCTTTATAACATCATCAAAGGGGCGCTGCAATACGATGCAATCAAAATCACCGATCAGAGATTTTCCCATATATGGTCTTTGTTGATTGTGAATCGATACTAATTGTATTGATTCCACTCAGTCGATACAGCAGCAAGCTCAAAATGTCCGATTTTATCTGAAAATTTCTGCGTTTCACAGATCATACAAAGCAACGGTATTGATGCCTGGTTTGTATGTACTTTTTATTTTTAAAAAAATTCATGTAGTCTATCAGACTTTTGTATTAAATCGCTCTGCAAAAAGTCATTTTGTATGCTAATAAATCAATGTTATGCTAATGCAAAATTTCATCATAGCCGCGACTCGGTTTACTCCGATGTGCAATGTCATCTTTATTTCGATCCTGTGAGTGTACAATTTTATATTAAACTTCATTTACTGAGTGAATACAAGACCACTAAATGCTGATGTCCATTTTTATCATAGCTGTGATTCATTCAGCCATTCACTCACTCAGCCACAAACTCACTCAGCCACACACTCACTCAACGACTCACCTCAACTACTCAGCCGCTCACTCACTCAATAATTAACTCAACCACTCAACCAATCATTCAACCACCCACTCACTCAATCACTCAACCATCACGCTCTCACTCACTCAACCATTCACTCACTCAGCCACTCACTCAGCCACTCACTCACTCAGTCACTCAACCACTCGCTCACTAAACCACTCGCTCATTCAACCGCTCGCTCACTCAACCATTCGCTCACTCAACCACTCGCTTGCTCACTCAACCACTCACTTGCTCACTCAAGCACTCGCTCACTCAACCACTCACCCAACCACTCGCTCAACGACTAACTCTACCACTCACTCACTCAACCCCTCACTCAACCTTTCACTCAACCCCTCACCAAACCACTCAACGACTCACCAGAATCCTCTCGGCTTGGGGACTCACTTAACCACTCACTTAACCACTCACTTAACCATTCACTTAACCACTCACTAGAACAACCACTCACTCACTTAATGACTTACTCAACCACTCAACCAATTACTTTCTCACTCACTCAGCCACTCACTCCTTCACTCAGCCACTCACCCTTTCACTCAGCCACTCACTCATTTAGCCACTCACTCAGCCACACACTCAACCACTCAGCCGCGCACTCACGAAGCTACTTACTCACGAAGCTACTTACTCACTCAACCACTCACTCACTTAATCACTTACTCAACCACTCAACCATCACTCTTTAACTCATTCAACCACTCGCTCACTCAGCCACTCACTCCCTCAACCACTAACTGACTGAACCACTCACTCAACCACTCACTCATCCAACCATTCCCGAATTCATTCAACCAGTCACTCAACCATTATGTCGCTGGACGAGTCCCACCTTGATGGGTCTGCGACATTTCTTTCCAGAGTTATTGCCAAAAAACCACAAACATCCCACAATCCTCTCGGTTTGGGGTCCAAATGTTGTCGCTTATATCCCATGAGAAACATTGCATCGAATAAATGTGATTGGATTCTCCCCGCTTGGACGAGCGGAATTTAATGGTGCAACTGGTTTTCCTGTGCTGTGTTAAATCAGATATTTGCATGACTGCTTTTGTTTTATTTTGTGAATAGCAAAAAACATTAATCCCCATAATACATATTGTTTTATTGGTCGCTCGTCCATTCCACTTCCCACAGCTTAACCACTCATATATTTCGATGACTCTCGACGAGGCGAGCAGTACGAGTCCCACCTTGATGGGTCTGCGACGTTTCCTTCCAGAGTTATTGTCAAAAAACAACAAACATCCCAGAATCCTCTCGGTTTGGGGTCAAATGTTGTCGCTTATTATATCCCATGAGAAACATCGCATCGAATAAATGTGATTGGATTCTCCCCGCCTGGACGAGCAGAATTGAATATGTAAGCATCATGGTTTGGATCAAACCTACAACCTCCTGTATACCGGGCGAAGTAGTGATCTTCTCGTCACCCGGGTCGCCATAATCCATTCCCGTATCTCTTCTTCTGTGTGTGTGCTACAGGCGGGTGTCTCAGATTGCCAGCACCATGTGATGGGAGCTCCAGGGCATGCTGCGTGCTCGCCAGGAGGGGCTGGGCAAGATGGCGTAGTCGCTGGAGCAGCTGCGGGCGCGGCACCGCCGCTCTCACCCTGGCGGAGTGCAGCAACACAGTGGGGCGGCACCAGCGGGACACTCTTGACAACGCAGCCAAGGTGCGCGCCAGCCACTCACTCACTCACTCATCCACTCACTCACTCAGCCACTCATTCAACCACTCACTCACTCATCCACTAACTTAAACCACTCACTCAACTACTCACTCACTCAACCACTCACTCAACCATTCACTCAACCATCCACTTACTCAACCACTCAATCAATCACTCACTCAGTCATTAACTCAACCACTCACTCAACCACACACTCATGCGCTCAAATACTCACTCATTGGTTCAAACACTCACTCATTCAAATACTCATTCAACCACTCACTAATTCACTCAACCACTCACTCACTGAACCACTCACTCGCTCACTCAACCACCCGCTCGCTCACTGAACCAATCGCTCCATAAATCACTCACTCAGCCACTCACTCAACCAATCAGTCACTCAATCATGAATTAAACCGCTCACTCACTCAACCCCTTACACACAGGCTCATCACCTGTGTCTCAACCATCTCACTGAGTAACATAACTCTTTTTTTAGAAGTGACCTGGCCACAAATGATAGGTCAACAACGTGCCTTATGTGGAAATTTATAGCAGCCAACTACTCTAAACGCCTGTTTCTAATGTGTAGGGAAAATCCAGAGGACCAGAATAAAAATCCACTTGACCACGGAGAGAACATGCAAACTCCAAATATACAGGTGTCAGGGTTGGGATCTAACCGACAACCTCCTGTATACCAGACGAGGTAGTTAACATTGTATCCGGGCAAGCCGTACATCGAGCTGGAGTGGACCATGCGGCCCATCCCTATCGCGTGAGTGGCTCCCACTGTTGTTATTGTGTTCATATGTGTGTGGTCTGCTTGTGTGTATGCGTGTGCCGCACTGCGCTATGAACCCAACATGACCAGGCTGTTGCCCCGCTCGCCCGACTCGTTGAGAGGCTTGCCCACCCCCCAGGGCGTTGTCGTGAAGATACCGCTGGGAGGAAGAATATCTCACAATACTGGAAGAGGTGAGGACTACACAGTAATTAACTGAGTGGGTCTGTGAGTGAGTTAGTGGATGAGTCGGTGGGTGAGTCGGTGGGTGAGTGGGTGGGTCAGTGGTTGAGGGAGTAGGTGAGTGAGTGTGTTAGAGAAGTGGGTGTGTTGAATGTGAGTGAATAGATGAGTGTGTGGAGGAGTGGATTGTTGAGTGAGTCGTTGGGTGAGTGAGTAGGTGGGTGTGGGTTAGAGATTGAGTGGGTGGTGGGTGATTGTGTGAATTAGTGGGTGGGTGGGTGAGTGAATGGTTTGAAGTGATTGATTAGGTGAGGGAGTGGGTGAGAGGTGGGTTGGTGAGTGGATGAGAAAATTGGTGGGTTATAGATTGAGGGGGTGGGTAACTAGGTGATTGGGAGGGTGAGTGGGTGAGTGGCTTAATGGGTGATTCAGTCGGTGGGTGAGTAGGTGAGTGCCTGGATAAGTAAGTGAGTGTATGGGAGCATGAGTGGGTGGATGGTTGAGTAGGTGGGTGAATAGGTGAGTGGGTGGTGGGTGGGTGAATTAGTGAGTGACTGTGTGAGTGAGTGCGTGGGTAGGTCAGTGCGATATTGTGTGGGGGAGTGGGTGAGTGAGGGGTTGAGTGAATAGGTTAGTGGGCGGGTGAGTAGATTGTTGGGTGAGTGGGTGGGTGAGTCAGTTAGTGGGTGGGTGAGTGAATATCGAAGGTTGAGCAGGTGAGTTGTTAGTGTGTGATTGGGTGCGTGGGTGAATCAAAGAGTGAGGCACCACGGTGGCGACATGTTAACTACCTCGCCTAGTATACAGGATTTTGTGTATTCGATCCCATCCCTTCCACTTGTATATTTGGAGTTGGCATGTTCTCCCTGTGGTCGTGTGGATTTTTCTCCGGGTCCTCCAGGTTTTATCTCCATATTTAAAATCAACATGCATTTAGAGGATGTGGCTGCAATGAATGTCTCCATGATAATCCACTTCGTTATCCTATCATTTGTAACCAGGTCACTTCTGAAAATTATTAATTTAGTTTTCTGAACATTTTAGGTAAAAAAAAAAAATTTAATTTAGTTTATTGGGTGGGTGAGTGGGTAGGTGGGTTATTGAGTGATTTGGTGGGTAGGTTAGAGATTGAGTGGGTGAATGGGTGGGTGTGTGAGTGGGGGTGTGATTAGTTGAGTAGGTGAGTGGGTGAGTAAATTGTTGAGTGAGTGGATTAGAGATTGAGTGGGTGGCAGGGTGAGTGGGTTTGTGAGTGGGTTGGTGGGTGGTTTTGAATGGGTGAGTGGGTGGAGTGCCGTGGTGGCGAGCTGTTAACTACCTCGCCTTTTGTACAGGAGGTCGTAAATTCGATCCCGACCCTGACGCCTTGTCGCGTGGAATTTTCTCCAGGTGCTCCTTGTTCTCCCTCCACATTTAAAAACATGCAATTATAGAATTTGGCTGCTATAACTTTTTTACACGTGAAAAGCCACTGAATTGAGTTGATATTTGTGGTCAAGTGGTTTTTGAAAAATATCTATATAGCTGAGTGCCTTACCTGGTAAAATAAAAAAAGCTTAATTTTCATTAGTGTGCAGATGAGTGGCTGGGTGGGTGAGTGGATGAGTGAGTGCGATGTTTGATGGGTAGTAGGTCAGTGGCTGGGTGAGTGAGTGTGGGCTAGAGATTGAGTGGGTGGCTTGGTGAGTGTGTGCTTGGCTCGGTGGTTGAATGAATGGATGGTTGAGTTAGTGGGTGGGTGTTTGAGTGTGTGTTATTGTGGGTGGGAGAGTCAGAGAGTGGAGTGCCATGTTGGCAAATTGTTAACTATCTTGCCTGGTATTTTTAAGTTTGTAGGTTCGATCTAAACCCTGCTTCTCAAAACAATCTATATAGCTCAGTGGGCATTACCTGGGGAAAAAAAAATGTTTGATTTAGTTAAGGGTGTTGGTGAGTGGGCGGGTGGGTGAGTGCATCAGTGTGGGTTTGAGAATTTAGTGGGTGGCTTGGTGAGTGGGTAAGTTCGAGTGACTCAGTGGTTGAGTTTGTGGGTGGTTACGTTAGTAGGTGATTAAATTAGTGGGTGGGTCAGTAATTACGGTGGTAGTGGGTGAGTGGCTGAGTGGCTGAGGGAGTAGGCGGGTGGTTGGCTGGGTGGGTGGGTGAGTGAGTAGGTGGGTTATAAATTGAGTAGGTGGCAGGGTGAGTGGATCTGAAAGTGGGTGAGTGAGTAGGTGCACGGCTGGGTGAGTTAGTGAGTGGATGGATGAGTGAATGGGTGAGTGTGTGGGTGCATGGATGTGTGGGTGGGTGAGTGTGTGTGGGAAGGAGGTTAGTTGGGTAGTGCGTGAATGGGTGGGTTAAAAATTGAGTGAGTGGGTTAGTCACTGGGTGAGTGAGTGGATGGGTGGGTTTGTGAGCTTTGGTTAAGAGATTGAGTCAGTAGCAGGGTTGGTGTGTGGTTTCGAGATTGAGTGGGTGGTTGGGTGAGTGGGTGGTTGGGTGAGTGGGTGGGTTAGAGATTGAGTGGCTCGGTGAGGGAGTATTGGGTGGGTGAAGTGAGTTGGTGGGTCGGTGAGTGCGTGGGTGGGTGATTCAGTAAGTGGGTGAGTGAGGGGTTGGGTGAGCAATGGGTTGAGTGGGTGTGTTTTTTGTTCGTGAGTTTGTAGGTGGGTGAGTGGGTCAGTTAGTGGTTGGGTGAGTAAGTGGGTGGGTGAGCAAGTGAGTGAATGGGTGTGTTGGTAGGTGAGTGTGTAGCTTGGTGAGTGGTCGTAGGGTGAGTGGGTGGGTGAGAAAGTGGTTAACTGAGTGAGTGGTTGGGTGGGTGAGTTGTTGACTGAGTGGGGTCAGCGAGTGGGTGGGTGAGTTGATGTGGGAGGTTAAGTGGGTAAGATAGTGTGTGAGTGAGTGGATGGGTGAGTCAGAGAGTGAGGCGCCAAGGTGGTGAGATGTTCACTGCCTCACCTAGTATACAGGAGATTGTGGATTCGATCCCGACCCTGTCGCCTGTATATTGGAGTTTGCATGTTCTACACATGGTCGCGTGGATTTTGCTGCAGGTCCTTCGGGTTTTCCCCTCTGCATTTAGAATCAACATGCATTTAGAGGATTTGGCTGCAATAAATGTCTATGTGATAAGCCTATAATTTGTTCACTGGTCTATTCTGAAAAGGATCTATATAGCTCAATGGGCCTTACCTGGTGAAATAAAAAAGTAGTTTAGTTTAGGGGGTAGGTGGCTCGTTGGGTCGGTAGGTCTGTTGCAGGTCGAGTAGGTGGCAGGGTGAGTAGGTGAGTAGGTAAGTGGCTGGGTGAGTGGGTGGACTGGTGAGTGTGTGAGTTAGAGATAGAGTGGGTGGATGGGTGGGTGTATGATTGGGGGAGTGAAATGGTGAGGGGATGGGTGAATGAATTGTTGAGTGAGTGAGTCAGTGAGTTGGGTGTGTAGGTGGGTGCGTAGGTAAGGTGGTTAGCAAGGTGTGTGGGTCTTTGAGTGGGTAATGTGGCTGAATGGGTATGTGGCTGAATGGGTATGTTGGCTGAATGGGTATGTGGCTGAATGGGTATGTGGCTGAATGGGTATGTGGCTGAAGGGTATGTGGCTGAATGGGTATGTGGCTGAATGGGTATGTGGCTGAGTGGGTATGGCTGAGGGTATGTGGCTGAGTGGGTATGTGGCTGAGTGGGTATGTGGCTGAGTGGGTATGTGGCTGAGTGGGTATGTGGCTGAGTGGTATGTGGCTGAGTGGGTATGTGCTGAGTGGGTATGTGGCTGAGTGGGTATGTGGCTGCGTGGGTAGTGGCTGAGTGGGTATGTGGCGGAGTGGGTATGTGGCTGAGTGGGTATGTGGCTGAGTTGGGTATGTGGGCTGAGTGGGTATGTGGCTGAGTGGGTATGTGGATGAGGGGGTATGATGGCTGAGTGGTATGTGGCTGAGTTGGGTATGTGGCTGAGTGGGTATGTGGCTGAGTGGGTATGTGGCTGAGTGGGATATGTGGCTGATGGGTATGTGGCTGAATGGGTATGTGGCTGAATGGGTATGTGCTGATGGGTATGGTGCTGAATGGGTATGTGGCTGAAGGGGTATGTGGCTGAAATGGGTATGTGGCTGAATGGAATATGTGGGTCTGAATGGGTATGTGGCTGAAGGGTATGTGGCTGATGGGTAGGTAGAGTGGGTGGCTGCGAGTCGAGAGGTGGAAGGCCCATGGTGGCGAGATGTTAACTACCTTACCTTTTGTACAGGAGGTTATGGATTCGGTCTCGATCTTGATGCCTGTATATTTGGAGATGCATGTTCTCCTCGTGGTTCATGGATTTTTCTCCGAGACCTCTGGGTTTTTGTGGCCACGTTGCTTCTGAATAAGATCTGTATAGCTCTGTGGGCCTTGCCTTGTAAAAAAAATTAGTTTACAGTTGGGTGAGTGGTGGGTTGAGTGCGTAGGTGGGTGAGTGAGTTGGTGGGTGGTTAGGTTAGTAGAGTGAGGGGCTAATGTGAGGGAGTTGTTGGGTTAGATATGGAGTAGGTCACAGTGTGAGTGGGTGGGTTGGTGCGTGAGTTGGGTCAGTGAGTGGGTGGGTGAGTTGGTGGGTGGGTTGTTGGGTGAGTGAGTTGGTGAGTGCATGTGTAGGTGGGTGCGTGGATGAGTGGTTTAGTGAGTGGGTTAGAAATTGAGTGCGTGGCAGGGTGAGTGGGTTTGTGAGTCGGTTAGTGGGTGGCTTTAGTAGTTGAGTGGGTGAGTCAAAGAATTGAGCGCCACGGTGGCAAGATGTTAACTACCTCGCCTGCTATACAGAATGTTGTGGGTTCGATCCCGACCCTGACGCCTGTATATTTCACTCCACATTTAGAAACATGTAATAACAGGAATTGGGTGCAATAAATGTTTACAGTGACTTTGTTGAACTATCATTTGTGGCGAAGATGCTTCTGAAAACAATCTTTATAGCTCAGTGGGCCTTACCTGGTAAAATACCGCTGGGAGGAAGAATATCTCACATTACCAGAGAGCTAAGGACTACACATAGAGTGGGGTGATTAACTGGGTGGGGTCTGTGAGTGTGGGTCAGTGATGAGGAAGTAGGTGAGTGAGTGTGTTAGAGATTGTGGGTGATAGGGTAAGCCATGGGTGACGTGAGTGGGTGTGTGTTTTGGGAGTGAATAAACGGAAGTGGTTGGTGAGTGCTGGGTGAGTGGGTGGGTGGGTGTGTATGTGAGTGGGTTAGAGATTGATTGGGTGAGTTAGTGGGTGCT